GCTTTACCTTTGCAGTGGTAAGCTTTGCCATCCCCTTGAAAGTCCTGAGCTGCTCTTTGAAGGTTTAATTCCACATAGGTTATTTCTTGTTCACATTCTGAAAGGGAGCTGTTAGTGCCCTTAGGTTTCCTCTGCTGCTTCTTTGGGGTTTGAGTCTGATTTATATCAGAGTAGATCACTCTTTGGTTATCCATCTCTGCAGCTGTGAGATGTCAGGGACTGTGCTCTATGATACCTGGTCTTAGGAAAATAATAAATGGTTTATCTAAGGACAAGAACCTGAGTGCAGTCAGAAAGGATGAGGCGGAGAGTGGGTTTGGTTCTCATTTTGCATTGAAGATTCTAAAGTTCTCACTCTAATTTCCTTAAAGCTGACACAAATGTCTTAAAATAAAATATTTTCTATAAGACTTTCTACATTGTTCAAAACATTGCTGTTGGAATAATGAAAAGCAAAAGTACCAAGTAATAAACAACTCCATAAACGTATACATATTTTTAAAATTCTGATTGAAAGATACATTTTTACATTAATACAATACCTGTGTCAGAAATTAAAAGTTGCATAAAAAGCTATATGTACTGTTTGAAAATCAAATTTCAAAAAGCTATAGTGGTTAAAGACTGAGTGATCTTAAAATGGAGAATAGGAAAATTGACATGTCTTTTAGCCTGTGCACTAAATTACTTTTGTTTTGTACTTTACACTTATTTATTAAAATGGACTCAGTGTTATTAAGTGGTCTTTCATTGAATAACAGAAGCATTTTGAGCAATCATTAACTTAAAGAGTATTAGAAATGCTACAAAAAAATCATGAATTCTTATTTACAGAAGATTTGCCAGTTAATTTTATTGTTAAAATATAAAAGTATAAATAAAAAATGTATGCCTTCTATGGAAGAACACTCTTATTTCAAATTTCCAGAAATGTATTATGTTAGTCAGTGTCAATAAAGGCCGCATTAGTGGTTTGAGTATTTTCTTTAATTCATATAATGTAATGTAATATTTTAATCAATGGGCTTTCAAGTCCATGAGATCTAGAATTAATTTTGGCTTTGCAATTCACACAATGTGACCTTTAAAAAATTACTTAGTATCTAAAAACCTGGCTCTTAATCTAAATTGTGAATAAGGTCATACAAAATGTAATGTCCAAAATATCTACCACTCGAGCTGGTACCTAGAGTTCTCTATAAAATTAATTATTTTATCCACAATTGCTATTTTATTGTTTCTGCTTCATGGCTGTAAAACCATGGAAAATAAATCATTACACAAATTGCTTATATCAGTGTGGTACACTTTTCTGCAATATTTGATTAATGTTTTTAATGTCTTTCGATTATATATTAACTAAGTTCAGCACTTTATGTAATTTACCTTATCCTTATTTTAATTAAAAATAAAACATGCTTTCTTTTAATACAAGTGTCTGAGGAATTATGTTCAGCTTTCATCATTAAAGTATTTCCTTTTAATAATCTTTGATGGTGAGCAAGCTAAGTATAAATTATCTTATTATTCAGTGTCAAACAATGTAATGATGGCTAATCCACAGTTAAGTGATGTTTAGGGCTTTCCCTTAAATGATGTTTGCTAACCAAGTCACATATATGTCTTGACAATATCTTCAGAGGCAGCGATCTGCAAACTTGAGAAATACTCCAGAATATTTCATATTTTAGATTTTTAACCTAAATTATTCAAATAAGGAAACTGGTTTCTACTCTGATTTTATTTGCATATTAATTTCTTCAGATACATCACATCTAGTATTTGGAATCTTCCACTAAATGAAGAAGGCTAGTTGAGAGATAGAGGGTAGCAACACATACCTTCTGCGTCCATAAGGTCATGCATCCTGTAGTGCAGAGCCCAGGTTGCTCTCAGAAAAGGCCAAGGCAGCTGAGAAATAAAAGAGAGGCAGCTGAGAAATGTAAAGGCATCAGTTCTGGATAAGAACAATGTCTGTGATCTTCACAGATGCCCTGCAAAGGCTCAGAGTGCCCCAAGAGTGGAAAAAGTAGATTTCTCATCATTGCGTCACTTAAGGTCTACACAGGAAATTCTCACATATGGGCTAATTTGAAATCAGTTTATCTCATCAGACACCTCCCAAAACAGGAGACACTGGGCTCTTAATGCAAGGAGAAAGTAGAATTCTAGTGTGTCCTTTAGTTTGTTCATTGTAAGTGACTCTGAGAAGCTGTGTTCATCCTCTACAAATAAGGGTGAAACGACTTCATCACTCATGTGGGTCACTTTTTTTCATTCCATCACAAATATGCCAACTTAAGCCATAAGTGTGCCTTAGATGGCTAAGACTCCCTTTCAGACTAGGTTGCTAAATCGTAACATTGTATTTCTTTTCATGTTCTTATCATGTCACTTCTATTAAGATGGAAAAAACTCTAAAACTCGTAGTAACATTATCAACAGATAATTACTGATATTTGTGATTAATTATTCTGAGAAATAACTATAATTTCGATTTATTGTAGATGACACAAAATCCATCATTGCCAATCTTATCATTGTCACTTCTCTACCTTAGTTCCTACATTTTTCATTTGATTTTACTTTTAAAATATGACAAAAATGCTTCTGAGAAAGAAAAACATTACTCAATTTTTAAATACATTAGCAGGCCAGACTATAATATTATTAATAACTATTCATTTTAGTGTTAATTGGTTCATTTTCCAGCCTGAGGAATTATCTCTATTTTAATAGGACTATATGTTGTAAGTGATTAAAGCCTAAGTCAAACTAAGAGGGGGAAGGGAAATAATTTCAAATGATGAGGGCTGTTTGAGAAGTATCGAGCCACATACTTTGAAACATAGTGTTAACAATGGCTGGATACTTCCCAGGCTTGCCTTGTATTTCCTTTACTTAAAAAATAGGACCTTTAACATATATAGAATAGCTTTACCCTGATCTCAAAAACAGGACAAGGATACTACATGCAAGGAAACTACGGACTAATATCTATAAAAAATATTGGTGTAAATATCCCCCCAAAATACTAGAAAATAGAATTCAATAGCATATTTAAAGAATAATACACCATGCCCAGTGGGATTTATTTCTGAAACACCAGGACATTAGGATATATGAAAGTCAGTAAATGCAATATACCCTCAATAAAATAAAATATAAAAACTACATGATTATCTCAAGCAATGCAGAAAAATTGAAAAAATAATCAAAACTCTTTTATGATATACAGAGTAAAGAATGTGAAGACGGAGAAGAGAGAGAGACTCGAAGATATTGGACTTGAAAATTAAAGTGACTCACCCACAAGCCAAAGAATGCCATCAGGCATCAGAGGAAACAGAGAAAGGATTCTCCCCTAGACCTTCTGAAAGGAGTGTGGCATTATGACACCTTCATTTCAGTCTAGTGATATTTATTTTGTACTTCCAAACATCAGAATTGTGAAAGAATAATCTATCATACTCCCAGTATATCATGGACCATGGGGTAACCCTCAGAGATAAAACTGGTTCACTTACCTAGGACAAGTTAGAAAAAATCTTAAACTGGTTTGCAGATAGATCTGTACAAATTACTGACTCTGTTTCCAGATGTTCCTCTGCTGTGCTAGAGATAACCTTGTAAGAAAGCAGAGAAAAAAAAGTAAAAATAAAGCCAGTGTTGAAGGCAGTAAGGAATCTCTTCTCCTCATATCAGAATTGAGTACATAGGATTCTTGTTTCTCCATTTGTGATGCTTTACTAAGAATAATGTGTTCCATATCCATCCAGATTAATACAAAAGATGTAAATTCTCTATGTTTTAAATGGCTGAATACTATTCCATGGTACACATATACCACAGCTTATTAATCCATTCCTGGGTTGGTGGGCATTTAGGTTGTTTCCACATTTTGGCTATTGTAAATTGAGCTTCAGTAAACAGTGTAGTGCAAGTGTCCTTATGATAAAGGGATTTTTTTCCATCTGGGCAGATGCCCAGTAATGGGATTGCAATATCAAATGGGTGGTCTAGCTTGAGTTCTTTGAGGGTTCTCCGTACTTCCTAAAGTCTGGTAGGCTAATGTCCCCTGCTTTGTTTTTATTATTAAGAATTGCCTTGGCTACATAGGGTCTACTCTGGTTCCATACGAAATGAAGAATTATTTTCTTCAAGTCTTAAAAGTATTATGTTGGTATTTTAATAGGAATATCATTGAATCTGTAGGTTACTTTGGGAAGTATATACATCTTAACAATGTTGATTCCTTCCAGCCATGAGCATGGTATGTTCTTCCACTTGTTAATATCTTCTGCTATTTCTTTCTTAGGGGTTCATAGTTTTCTTTATAAAAGTCCTTCACCTCTTTTGCAAAGTGTATTTCTAGGTATTTCATTTTCTTTGGAGCTACTGAGAAAGGTAGTATGTCCTTGATTGCCTTTTTGGCTGTTCTTGGCATATACAAAGGCTACTGATTTGTGGACATTGATTTTATATCCTGAGATGTTACTGTATTTTTTGATCACTTCCAGGAGCCTTGTGGTTGAGTTGTTAAGGTTCTCTAAGTATAAGATTATATCATCAGCAAAGAGGGCGAGTTTCACTTCCTTTGCCCCCATTTGGATGCCTTTAATTTCCTTCTCTTGCCTGATTGTATTAGCTAGAACTTCCAGCGCTATGTTGAATAGTAGCAGCGATAGAGGACATCCTTGTCTTGTTCCAGTCCTGAGTGGAAAAGCTTTCAATTTTACTCCATTCAGTATAATATTAGCCGTGGGTTTGTCATAGATGGCTTCGATCAGTTTAAGGAATGTGCCACTAATGCCTATATTCTTCAACATTCTAATTAGGAAAGGATGTTATATTTTATCAAATGCTTTTTCTGCTTCTATTCAGAGGATCATATAGTCTTTGTTTTTGCTCCTGTTGATATGGTGAATTATGCTTATGGTTTTGCATATGTTAAACCAACCTTGCATACCTGGGATGAATCATACTTTATCATGTTGTATGACTTTTTTAATAATAAGCTGTCACCTGTTTGCTAAAATTTTATTGAAAATTTTTGCATCTATATTCATTCTTGAAATTGTTCTGTAGCTCTCCTTTTCAGCTGGGTCTTTTCCTGGTTTTGGTATCTGGGTGATGTTTGCTTCATAGAACGTGTTGTGGAAGATTCCTTCCTCCTCAATTTTTTAGAATAATT